CATAATTATTTCTTTTAAAGTTTAGTACCAGTTACAAACCAGTTATTACAAAAGTGGATGGTAATATTATTAAAATAAAATTGTTCTGAATGTAAATTGGGCGTTGAAATATTTTAAGCAGGAACGTAATTTTAAACGAATTAAAATTAGTATAATGATATTTATAATTTAATCTTTACGATTTATTGTTATTTTTCCATTTTTAAGCTTTAACTTTGAATTCATTTTTATACTTTAACAAATATACGTAATTATCACGATTTTTAGGTATTATGTTTGTATATCTTAATTTTATATATTAATTTCTGTTGTACTGTACTAAAAGTTTAATAAAGGGTTTAATTATTTTATCGTGTTTCCCTGTCCTTTTTAAATGAAGAAAATCTGACCAAAAACCGAATGCGCTGCTTTAAAAAAACTCCATGTTGTTAAGAATACCTTTAAAGACGTATTTTTACTGAACGGAGATTCAATATATAATTGATAAACCTTGCCTATAAAGAGAAAATAAATACAACGACCGTAAAATATGGAAATCATTTTTTTTAACGAGATAAGGCTTTCAATTATCATTTGTTAATTGTTGCTTTTTAATTAGTTATGATGTTTCAATTTCCATATTTCTAAAATCGAATGAAATAATGAGCTTATTACTTAATTGAACATATAATTTGTCTATTAACTGCTGGTTTTTAACTAGGGCTTTGACCTTATGCCGCATATTACTCAATGTGCTCTGACGATTTGCAGAGAACTGTAAATATCGCAATAAACTCGTTAATATTTCGAGGCTTGGTAAAATAACTAGAACACTTACTGATGATTGCAAGCCGTTGTCTCCATTGCCGTGCATAGCGGGTGCATTTGTCGCCATACCCGTTAAAAATTATCAAAAGTAAATACTATGGTCAGTGATAGTGTAGAGAGATCCAGGTATATTTTATACCCATCCCAAGTTTTTGTTAGCATCCCTGACCTATCCCTTCGGGCCATAGTTCTGGATCCAGTCCATTTTGTTTCTTTATTAGAGCCGCGACGAACGCAGTACCTTTGCGTTCGTATGCTCCTATTCGCCATTTTTTTTGGCTGGATGAGCCACTATTGGCCTTAGGGGCGCCTTCACAGATCCGACGGACTTGAGGTGGCCTGGCGGGGCGCCTAGCTTGAACCTCGGCGTATTATTATTACGCGTTATGGGGCCGTCACACTATTATTATTACCGGTTTGGGAGGCCGCCAAGCTCTTAGGGCGCTTTGGCGGACACTCCATGGAGTGAGTAGGCTCAAGGGTCCCCGAGAGGGGACTTCGGCTTGGGCTGTCACTCAATACGTGTTTAGCATTCCTATTCGAGGGTGCCCGAGAGGGCCGGACCTCGGCTCGATCGATAGTTATTGTTTGACTGGGGGAATTACTAGATCTAACATTACCCACTTCGGAAAGCGTAAAAGTGGCGGAAGAAACTCCAGCAACGGTAAACGACCGCGCTTTTGGTGGGATTGATCTCGATCCTGCATTGCCGAAACCAGTCACCGATGGTGATGACCGCAGCTTGAAGGCGTTGGTGGATCAATTCTGGTGTTCCGCCTGTGGTACCTATAGAGACAGGTGTCGTCAGCAAAAATGGCTAGTTCTACGTCTTTGAGAGGCGGCATGTCTTCTTTAGTGTAGAGCGTAAACAAGACTTAGCCCAACACCGACCCTTGGGTAATCCCGGCTCAGACAGGATGCGTTGTAGAACACACGCCCTCAACGCGATAGCGAAAGGTCCGATTACTCAGGGAGTCTCGTATTATGCATACGAGACGGTCGGGCACTTCCTATTCGCCAGTTAACGTTATTGCTTTGCACTTACACGGTGCTACGCAAGTTGTCAGCAGTGGAGTTGTAAATCGAATATGCAGATACCCTCCAGTTACATGTGGGGTTGTGGATAGGACTAAGGGCCTCTTCTTGGAGCTGACACAAAACCGAGAATGTATGATTTGTAAGCAAGAATAAACCATGACCATGCTTCTGTGTGCATGACTGTACACAGTGTAGTTAACTTCAACCTACATCAGGATAAGCGAACAGACAGCATGCACAGTGCTGTAGCTTCCTCATTTAAATTATAAATATAACAAAGACTACAATTTTACAATCATTTGCCCAAGACGCATAGCATCAGCAATAGCTCCTTGAAAATAATATTGAATTCATTTCTCTTTTAATCCTGATTCATATTTGGTGGATGTAATTGTATAAAATTATGTAATTAATAATTATAAAAATGTCCCAAATTGTATAAAAACGATAACGCTTACTAAGACGACGATTATATAATTAAATTATAATTCTGATAATCAATCAACACGATCATGATGAGTATGAGAATGCAACAGTTTTTTTTTAATATTACATAACTATTACAAAGAACGGAAAAGTAAGTACAATAAACTGTAATATGCATTTAATGACAAAGAATTTAATTGAATGAACTTTAAGTAAAACGTAGTTAAACTTTCTTTCCAATGCTCAAATTTAAATGGTTATAGATACATATACTATAAGGCTACAAAAAAACTAATAATAACTTAATAACTGATAATAATAAATTGTTTTTTGTCAATTTCCGAGTAATATAAGTATTTTCAAATATTTTTCTATCAGTATAATACTATATAATAATACTGCATTACTTTTTTTTTCAAATCGATCTAGTTTTTTTGAATATAAAAATATTTAAATATTATCGTACTAAAATGTTAGGCTGATTCAAATGTTTTGAATATATCGTTTTAAATTTTTTTTAAAAATGAGCCGTCACGGACGCCTGGCAGATGTGGAACATCGACATTATTTTGTAAAAGTAATATGCAGAAAAGAGCAGATTGTGATAGGAACTAAATATATCATAATGATAAAATAAAATATTACGATTTTTTTTCCAGATAACGATGACTATTTATTGAATAAACATTTATTTTCATTAAATACAAAAATTTACGAATTTATTTCAAATCGTGACTACTTAATTCGTTTAATCAGTGACTTCGGTAATAGTACACACAATTAATTAAAGTTAATTTAATTAATTAATAAATAATTATTAAAAATTAATTTAAATTTGAGTAATTAATCGTACACACTACTGCATATAGACATATATAGTATATATAGCGTGGCGACGCGTCACCACGGCATGCGTCGCCACGCCAGAAATCGGTTTTACGCTATAGATGTTTCACATCAAAAATTACTTCTTAATAGTAATGAAAATCTCTGGCACTAATAAAATTTATATTAAAGCTGAATGTAAGTGAAAAGACTTCTTAATATAAATTTAAGAAACTGGTTTTGTTCCTGTGTAAGTGATATCCGGAGAGGTAAATGCAACTTATACCGCCAGCTAGATAGCCTGCAAGCTGACCGAGAGAGAGAAACAGAAGACTGACTAAAAACCAGCTTACCTCAAATTTTCGAAGTTGCTAGCTCGCTAGTATTACCTAATCTATTTTTTATCATGGTGTGCAATATGAATATTCGTTCATTATTTTTCATGTTTGATATTGCGTTCATCAAAGGTTTGTTAAGCATATGTTTTGTAGTGTAAAAAGCATGTGCCTGTAACGATCCGAACAGACTTATTAACTACACTTAAGTAACTGTTAACTTTTTAATTAAGAATAAGTTAGTGCCTGACTATCATATATCCTAATTTAAATGGTATTGTAGTCATACGTGGTATGGAGAATAGCCAGTTGCAGTTATTTATATATGTTTGAAATCATTTTCAGAGCACATTATTGTCGATCACGCAAATCTATCAAAAATGTTGGCATATTTAACATTAAAAGTGTTATGGACACTATAAGCAGCTAATCATTGATAAAGGAAAGAAACAATAATAATAGCCACAGTAACGAGGCAAAAACTTCTATCTGCCCATTTTTCTTCTGCTTTTCATCCATCGACTTTATTATCCGTAAATAACAAACAACATGTTTATTAAAATTATACGCTGATGTAGTTTAATTTACGTCAAATGCAATTGCCGAATTTCGCTATCAAAAATGTGTAAATTTATTTCATGAAAACTAACTAGGATGCATTTTTTTATATAGTAAAAAGATACATCTATTATTGCTATATAAGTCGAACATATTAAACCAAAACATGATGATAAAACTGCCTATATTGTCTTACAGCCAAGCAAATGTCAGATATGGAAGGATGCAAATAACGAAAAACTTAATTTCACACGACACTGGAATTCCAAACTTCGATCGCTAATTGAATAACGTCTCAATGAGATCAGCAAATGTATTAGACAATTTGTTTTTCTAATTTCGTAACCAACTTTGATTATTAATTAGCTTCTAAATTTAGCGCCTCAGTAAATTTTTTATTTTTAGAAACTTCGAAGTTCAATGAAAGTGATAATGTGCTTATTACTTTTTCAATAAATAAAACACTGATTTCCTTATATGCTACTATTATATATAATTACATATTATAATATTTTCGGTAATTCGACGTGGGATTCGAACCCAGTCATGCAACGCTCATGCAGTTAATTTCAATGAATTGAAATGGAGACATACCATGATATTGAAAACTTTTTTAAACGCTATAGATAGGTCTTTAGCCTGTGTGTGTATTACTACTATTAGAATTATTTTTGTCAGAGAAGAAATTAATATTTGTTATAGAACTTCAACTTATTTACTCCCTGCATTTACTCTCAACTTATTATTTAAGTAGCTCTGTTCAAATATTTTAATGACGTAACGCTTAGGAATGGAAGCACCATTGCGCATTTAGATCGATCCACGAACGGAGCCAAAAGTATGCATAAATAATTGTATCGAGTCTAGGTGACCTTTGTGCGATTTTGTCAAATATTCCGTAACCAGGAATCTTTTTTAGTACCAAATTCGTTTTTAAAGAGAAAAAAAATGTAACAAAGAAAATTAAATAAAATTTCTCTAATGATTAATTTTCTGTATTCCTATTTCCAGATGCTGGATCGAAGGCTTAGATACTAACGAATCAATAGCAGCATGGAACTCCACGGAGGTTTTAGCCGCAATACCTAGCACATTGGACGGCAGAATACACAGCTGTTACATGTTTAATGAATTCAATGAAACTGTAAAGTGCTCGAAGTGGGTCTTTGACACGCAGTATAGGTCATCATCGCGTGCTATCGAATGGGATTTCGTTTGTGACAAACGATGGATGGGTGCAGTTGCACAAACTGTTTACATGTTGGGAGTATTTACTGGCGCTGTGGTATTAGGAGGAATGGCGGACAAATACGGCCGAAAGACAATATTCTGCTGGTCGGGCGTGCTGCAGTTGATATTCGGCGTGGTAGTAGCTTTTATACCCGAATACTGGTCATTTTTAGTAATACGATACTTGTACGCAATATTCGGTTCGGCCGGATCATACATCACTGGTTTCGTATTGACCATGGAGATTGTTGGTTCAAGTAAAAGGACCGCCTGCGGTGTGGCTTTCCAAGCGGCGTTTGCATTAGGCATCATGCTGGTGGCAGGTTGGGGGGCACTTATAGATAATAGGCAAATATTACAAATCGTTTACGGACTACACAGTCTCCTGTTAATTCCGCACATATGGATCATGGATGAATCTCCGCGTTGGCTGTGGGCCCAAGGACGAGCCAAAGAAGCTGTAGATATAGTCCAAAGAGCTCTTAAATTTAACAGATCTGATGAAGTGTTAGATAAAGCACAACTAGTATCGAAGGGTAAAGTCGAAGCTTCGAAAGACACCGATGCCCCTTCCGCTGGTACTATGGACCTATTTAAGACTCCTAATTTGAGAATTAAAACTATTAACGTTTGTTTCTGTTGGTTTGCGAACTCGTTAGTATATTACGGGTTGACCCTTAGCACGGGTAAAATTGAAGGTAACCCTTATTTAATAACGGCCATTTTTGGTTTTGTAGAGTTCCCAAGTTACGCTGCAGTGGTTTACTTCTTGGATATATGGGGCCGAAGGCCTTTGATTAGTTCGATGATGCTGATCGGTGGTGCTGCGTGTATAATTGCTGCTTACCTTCAGTCGGGAAGCATTATATCAACAGCTATTGTGATAGCCGGAAAGTTATTTATCGCGGGGTCATTTGCTATCATCTACAATTATTCTGCAGAACTGTTTCCTACGGTAGTCCGGAACTCGGCTTTAGGTTTAGGTTCTATGTGTGCCAGGCTATCGGGTGCTTTGACACCTTTAATTTCATTATTAGATTCATTTGACCCTAAGATTCCTGCTGTGCTTTTTGGTGTTATAGCCCTTGTGTCAGGCTTTTTAACACTTTTCTTACCGGAAACTACAAATCAACCAATGCCACAATCTTTGGCTGACGGTGAAAACTTTGGAAAGGGAGACACCTGTTTCACATCTTGTCTCGGTAAAAAGAGGCGTAGACGATATTCAGTAGAGGACAAAACCGCTGAGTCAATGGTACCTTTAGAAGACATGAGTAAAAAGGTTTAAGTCAAAAATTAAATAGAATAAAAGATGTAGAACGGCAGATAGACAAAGTAAAAATTCGGTTATTAAATGAATCTCGTTGAAAGCACAAATCCATTTTGTAATCTCAAAGGTAAGTGCAAAACTTACTTTCTTAGTGAATTATATTCACATGTTAACGACATAGTAAATTAGGCACCATTCAGTGATATTTTATAGTGTAGATATGTTATACGCTTACAAAATCATCGGTCAAAAGTGTTCCAAACATAGTGACAGCACATATTCACACAATGCTTCACATATGTTGATATAGTATAAAAAGGATAGTTAAAGCATAGAATTATATGTATATATATATTTATAGATAATTAACGCAAAAAAAAAAAAAAAGAGGATGGCAAATGTTTGTCACTTTAGCATGTGAAAAAATTTCGCTCAGGAGTCAGGATACCATTTACGGCACTCGTGACATAGATCAGAGATACTTAAAACGGAAGGTGCAAGCCGCTAACGTGAACTAAAGACAAGGTCACCCAATTAGGACGTTTTCGTGGGTTCACTTCGGGCGCGGTTATAACATATCTGTAGTATAAAATATCATTGGCACCATCATAATAACTTCACATCCTTAAAATGTTGTATGATGGATAATTCAGCTTAAGTCTTATTTAAATTGAAGGTATTTTATTTTGATAAAACTATGAATTCTGCTTGAGGTTTTTGAAACGATATTTGAGATTTTAGGTAAAATATTAATTGTAAATGTAACTTCTGTATATAAAAATTCGGTTTTGCTTATTAGTTGACTTCTTTAGTTTTTATGTTTTTATGTTTCCATTTTATCAACTTTTTATTGTGTATAGCAGAAATTAGGAATTTTATAAGAGTGTGTGTATCAATTTGATACAAATGAACGATAATTTTTTTTCATCTGTATCATATGTCTTATTGTCATATACATTTTATTGTTTTAGTATAAGAAAATTACCAAAGGAACTTAATTAAATGTATTTAAATATTTTATTACGCGATTGGCAAGATATTACTGTTATAGTTATAGGATTATGACAAAACCATTATAGTTCCTAAAATATGTTCCAAAACCAAATGTTCTTTCATTTTCACGATCAAATAATTTGTATTAAATTCAAAACTTATAAAGAGTTTTATGGTAATATAAAGAAAGCTATGGAAGATATGTCTTGTTTTCTTGCTTTATGCTTAACATTAAAAGGTACTGAGCGGTAGCTAACGCGGTGCTGAGTGGTAAGTGAGAGCGATGGTGACACTAGCCGTCATACAAATGACGGACATTGAATTATGCGCTTAAGAAATCCGGAAATTACTGAAATATTTTTATGTTTAACCACATGAACACAACATTCAACACATTAAACCAAATCTCCAACGATCAACCTACTTATTCATCATTGTTCTTTTCCATGTACTCTAAATTGAGCTGGTTTCACCCTTTTATTAATTCAAAATAATATATGTACCAATGATGTTTCAAGATTGGCATTCACACACAGATAAATATTTTGATCCCATTACCTAGTTTGTATCGAAGTATACCACGGTGACACTAAAAATTACTTTAAAAACCGGCCAATGAAAACTCTTTGGAAACCTAATGTGATATATAAATATATTGCCATTTGTAATTTTTTGTGAATTGCCAGCAATTCCAAGTCTTGTTACCTACATCTCTAAATTTAACGCAAGAAAATTTTCAGTCCATCATTTATTACGACTTTTGCTGTGGTCTTAGTCAATAAGAAAGTTATGGTAGAATTCTATTGGCATTTAAAAATGGAACCCCCATCCCTTGCCACTGTTTACAATTGGTTTAATGAGTTTACGCGTAGGCGTAGCAATCTCAATGATGATCTGCGCGAGCTACGTCCTTCAACAGAACCTCTGACAATAAAACGACTGCAGTGCGACACATGATAGAGGAAGAAGATAAGAGAGTCGGGCAGACTTAAGGATTGGTATGAGCTAAGTACAAAAATATTACACGACCATTTAGATGTCGCGATCGGAAGCTTTGTACTAGTTTCCACATGGATTCCCTGGTTTGGTGCCGCGAATGTTAGGTAAAATTATTTTCATCTTTAGCATTTCTTTTATAGTTTAATAAATTATTCAATTTAGTACTTTTTTTGAAATAATTTCTTCATTCAGCACAACTATAACTTTTTTCATAATTAATTCCAATAATTTCCATTTATTATTATTGAGCCCGTTCTGCGTTCCTCTTACTTTCGCTGTCGGGGACAAAGCCACGGCTATTAAGCCCGTCCGTTACGACAAGGCGGGAAACCGGTAAGAGGGGCGTAATGCTAGTCCAAACGTACACAAGGTACACCCGCGGTCCCTGGTGCACACTTACCAACTATGTTAATTTCAGTTTTTTAAGTACCTTTTTATTTGGTTTGAAGGTGATATATTTATAGTAGAACTTAATAATTGTTACACCGTAATGGACATTCAATGACATTCTTAAATCATTTTAATGTTGTCCAGCTTAAAATTCTGCTACAACAAGAGAAGTTTGTGGTACAGTTCCAAATCAGACAAATATCTGTAATGAATTTTCTGTACATTTCATTATTTTGTACATTTTACGATTGAGAAAAATAGAAAATAGTATTGAGCCTTACAACACCTACACCACTACTACCTTGTGGGTGCTGTAAGTGATATTTCCAACCACAGATAATGCGCATGCATCAGTTCTGAATAAGTCTTCTGGTGCCTGCTCGGTCATTTAGAAGAGAGCTGAACTAATTCATTTCGGACAGTGAACTAGTTCATTTCGGACAGTGAACTAGTTCATTTCGGACAGTGAACTAGTTCATTTCGGACAGTGAACTAGTTCATTTCGGACAGTGAACTAGTTCATTTCGGACAGTGAACTAGTTCATTTCGGACAGTGAACTAAGTTCATTTCGGACAGTGAACTAGTTCATTTCGGACAGTGAACTAGTTCATTTCGGACAGTGAACTAGTTCATTTCGGACAGTGAACTAGTTCATTTCGAACAGTGTACTAGTTCATTTCGGACAGTGAACTAGTTCATTTCGGACAGTGAACTAGTTCATTTCGGACAGTGAACTAGTTCGTTGTAATATAATGTTTATTACAAATATTTAAGAGAGAAGGGTTTCTATTATAAGCGTAAAGCAGTATTATAACATAAAATGTGTTATATAATTATAACACATTTTATATTATAATACGCTATAGGTGCAGGGTTAGGGTTATCTAAATAATGACATTACTAGAATCAATTTCATTATTTTTTTTGGGATTACTAAAACTGACTTTGGTTTTACCAATAGACTATACATGACAATAGATATTAAAGGTATTATTTTATTAACTTATTAAATAAGGTGATATAAAATATTATTAAAACAATCAAATGTTTTATAAGATTGTATTCTTACATTCACATTTATTTAATAGTTACAGATTACAGATATAACAAATTAGTAACATTTGATGGAAGCATTGAAGCTAAGTAGAATTTACGATAGCCCTGAATTGTGCTCCTAGAGCATTAAGTACATTTAGATATACACATTACAGAATCATACATAGTAAGTACTTGAGTAAGGAATGGAAATTACTACTTAGTAATCATTTTTTAATAAAATGATAATAGCAAAATCCAGCAACAATTAAATAGTGAATGATAAGAATATTAATCATTGAATATATTTTGATAACAAATAATTTTTTGTTTATTTGTACAAATTAAAAATATTTTAGTCTATTTAAATGACTATAATAAATAAATCAACAACCCTCTAGTTTAATCTAAAGCAAATTAAATCTTTGGAATAGAACTAAATGTTCATATTTTCATTGAAAATTACATGATTTCCTCATATCAAATGCTTCAATATGTTCTATCTAAATTTTGCATAAAAATATTGTAACAGGTTTTTTTTATGTAAAGATAATTAGAAACAAATTGTATTAGACATTAATTTTAATTTTTCGTCTCTAGAATTTATTTTTATTCAGTAAAACATGAACTTATTTTAAAACATCAATCAGATCAGGGATTAATATATTACCATAAAGTATTATCCATACTTGTAGACATTTAATATAATATTTTCTATATTCCATTAACCTTATTGGAATTCAAGATAAAAAGGTAAAATTAATGTAAATCAATGAATGTAGGTCAATCAATATTTTAAGATTGAAGTTAATGAATAACCTATAGTTACATTACATACAATTTTGCCAGGACTGCCAACTTTGACTCACAATACACTGATATGTCCAATTTAATACCATTACACCCATTCCTAATTTTTTTGTGAATAGTTTCTACTTTATGTAAATTTAAATATAATTAATTTATATCACTTCTTTCTTATAGTCAAAGTAAATGAAAAATCTTAAATAATTTTTACTTGAAGCAATATTTCCAACAACTTTGATGGTAAAAAATAGCACCAATTCAATGTAAAATCTTATACAGTAAAAAAAAAAAATACCAAAATGACTATTTGCCCTAAATTAGAAATAAAATGATAAATCTCATAGCTTATCCCAGAAAACTCTTTTATAACATTTTTTGGTATTTTTTGTAGCCAGGTTGACAAAAGATGGAATAAAAAGCATTAACATTAAATTAATAAATACTAATGTCCTTACACAAAAACATCAATAATCTGGACAGCGAGTATGTGGTAAAGATTGAATCAAACAATTCTGAGAATCTGGCTCTGTTGTCAATGCTGTATGCACTACTATAGCTGGTTGAGTAGGAGTTGGTGCATGAAGCTCATGACTTTCACCTGGAGCTAAGCTTGCTATAGCTGCCAACAGATCTGGATTTACTACTGGCTCACCTTCTTCACGCGGCTCCCACCCCACAGGAGGACTAGATGGGGGTGATATAAGAAACTGTTTGACCGGAGCTGGAGGTCTTAAATTTTTCAAAGAGATTGGTGTCACAGGTTGAGCAAAATAACAATTAATATAATAGTCATGAAATTGGTATTGGTGAAGTTGCACCCGAGCGCTTGCAGCTGCTAACGGACTATCGTAATTAACACGTAATCTTTTAAAACTACGAAGCCACTGAAATGTTATGTTATCTGAAAAAGTGCGAAAAAGATCTTCCAATTCCTTTTTTAACTTCTCATTAGAGAAAACGTCTGTGTGTATATTTGTAACGATCACTGATTTCGGCAAGTCATCAAATTCGTTTGTTTCGTCGTGCGAATTATTTTCTTTTTCTAAATTAGCAATATTGGGATGGATATTAGGCATGCCATCCTCGGGATTTATATATACTTCGTCTTCTTGAAATGAGTCGTCGTCTTCTTTGCTAGCCATATCGAATAAATAAGTTATCTAAAACCCTTTTTAAATTCTTTCTGTATAATAATAAAGTCAAAAGATATTTGTAATACAGATTACAGATTCACAATTTTTCTCAAAATAAAAATCGATTGGACATTGTTGTCAGAGTTCTGTCAATTCTGTCAACGGCGGTGTTAAAAAGTTGTTGAGTGTAATGACATAATTGTCATAATGCCGTTGATCAAAATACTTAAATAAAAAAAATTTGTTCTATAAATTCCCGAAAAGAATGCAGCTTAATAAGATCAAAAGTGTTTATTTAAATTTTTGTTTCTTTTATTTTTCTTCTCTTGCGCAAACTAATAATCAAAGCATTTTCTTTTCGGAAACGATTAATTTTACGATAATTGTTGCATGTTAACTCTTTCATAATCGCGGACATAAGAGGACCTTCGCATAATTTTAATATAAGTAAACTCTATTAAAATAAACTCTAATCTTAGTTTTAAGCAACTTCCATTTGTTTAAAGCATTAAAGTTAGGAATGAGGTGTATTCATCGTAATAGGTTGTCCTGTTCCACACAAATTGCTCCTTAACACGCTGTCACAAGCTTTTCTTTATTCATGCTTACTATTGTTACCTTAATTAAGAGATAAAAACTGTTACAACTTGTCATAGTTGTTACTGAACACTGTCACTGTTATAATCTCTTTCTTTTTCTTGCATGCGTCTTATAGCTTTGTTAGAAAGAGAGATACCGACGTTACCATAGAGTAACATACGGTAACAGCTGTTACTATGGTAACAGTTACACAAATTGTCACAACATAGTATATATAACAGGATGCTATTTGGTAACAGGTATTTCACTGTTACTTTTAAGGAACAGGGACAGGTGTAACATGTACTCGATTTGACCTAAATAACTATAACTCTATAGCTATACTAGTATAGCTCCACTCCCAATTTTTTTTGTATGTTAAAAGTTGCCAAACGAGCAGACGGGCCTGCCCGTTTGTGCAACAACCGAGACTGCTGCGTGGCCCTACCACCGTAAGATATATCGATATTTATTAGAATATCAATATCGGCTTCGATATATCGAAAAAAAAAATATCGGTCAAATTTCAGTTTTAAAAAAATAATGTATTTAGTTCAGTCTGAGTCAATAATAATAAGACGAATGAGAAGTTTTAATAATACGTTAATTATTTATTAATTTTAATCAAATTTGTTTTAATAATATAAGTTTCAGGTATGTTATTTATGAAGACCTTCATTAATAACATACCTTATAAAACACACAGCTTATTTAGTAAGATAAATCAGTTTCTTTAGCCCTAAATCGATTAAAAAAATAATTAATTAAAAAATATCTAACTTTGTAAAAAAAACCCGTAAAGACTTGTTCTAAAAGACAAGCCTTTTTTTTACGTGGGAAAAATCCTTTATGGATCCTCCGCCGCCTTGTTAAACAGCGAGGGTATGTAGGAGTCCCCAGAGACATGGGGGTACCCACTAAAAAAACCCACGTTGCACCTGCGCTGTCGCTTTTTCCGGGGACACGAAAAACAATTTTCCGGGAACCCCGGTGCGACTGTGGCCTTCTGACCTTAGAACCTGACCTTCCTTTCTCCGGGTGTTTAGACACCCGGTCCAACCAAATGGTGCCGTATCGGTGCAATGGATACGGCACCCCTCTCGATCCCTCCACGGGGCAGCAGTTAATCCCACCCCAGGGCTCGCTATCAGGGAGGAAGGTTGCGCGCGTCGGCCATCCTCCTGTGTCCTAGTCTCCGGCGGCGGATTTCCAGGTGGCAGTTACCTACCTTTCTCGCTCCGCGGCCTCCTTCGGGGTGATTATGTGCCCAGCCAGTTGTCACCTGGGGGGACAAAGTATGGTTCTAGTATGATAGCCACTTGTATAGTCCACTGTGCCATGCTCTGGAGCAGAAGATCTTGAGCCCTGGCACAGTGGTGATATTCACCTGCAAGAACCTTATGGCCTTTCACTATGAAATGGACATAGGAATCCCTTCCTCCCTAACTTCATTTGTTTGCTGGTGGGATAAATGCGACTGTGGTGGTGGCCCTGTGACACCTTGCCATCGCTTCCTCTTCTCAGGCTTGGTTGTGGTGCAGGTACTGCTTCCAATTTTGTGTCCGGCAGCCTTGTTCAATGTCGTTCAGTGCCGAAAAATTCAGATTAGTGTTTCCTGGTGTGTCCTGCTTCTTTTTCCTTCGCAGTTTCACATTCGTCTCTTGCACACTGGTCACAGATGGCCCAGTTCCTGTTGTAGGAACTGGTGTCCCAGTCGGTCTGACGTCGCTAACCGTGGTTTGTTTTATAGCAGCTGCAGATGACTGGGTCGCTCGGTTATCTATGGCTAGTGGTGGACGAAAGCGCTTCTCGGGTAGTAACCTGGTCCTAAAATACAGGCCTAGATCTAGAGAATTTAGTAATAGTTGTTTGTTTGACATGAAAATGCTGAACGACAATTTAACGAAGTTACTTATGTGGTTAAATGATAATAATTTTTATGACAAATCAAATTTTTATATCGATATATCGGATCCAAATAAATATCGGCCAAAAATATCGACATATTTTTAAAAAAATATCGGTATATCGATATTTTTCATCCCCCTAGCATATTTTGTTGACGAAACGAAGTTTTGCGGCTTCAAAGTCAAAACAGTGTGTAAAATAGAAAAACAAAAGTATTTTCTCGAGTAAATCGCTTGTAAGAAAGTATAATATATTTCAATTCTGGTACAGTGATTTTAATTAATAATTATATAATAATGCAAATGGCGGGACTTGAATCAATGGTTGTAGAAGAGGTTAAGCCAGTCGATAGGGAGAAGGTATTTTTAAACTAAATATACAATGTTTTTACAATTCTTTAGTATGTAGTTTTAATTCAAATATAAATTTGATTTATTTCAGACCTGCCCTCTTTTGCTTCGTGTGTTTTGTTCTACGGGAAGACATAATTCACCTGGTGATTATGCTAGAGGCAATGTACCTCAAAATGAACTTCAGATTTATACATGGATGGATGCAACACTAAGAGAACTCACAGGTTTAGTTAAAGAAGTTAATCCTGAGACAAGACGTAAAGGGACATACTTTGATTTTGCTATAGTATATCCTGATATTAGATCTCCAACATATCGTATGAGAGAAATTGGTGTCACTTGTTCTGGACAGCGAGGTGGTGACGATAACAAAACCTTATCACAAGTTAAATTCCAAATTGGTAACTACCTAGATATTTCTATCACTCCATCAAACAGAATGCCTCCACCAATGAGGCGCCCACAACCCTATGTTAACAATCGTCCATATTGAGGTAAAACTTCACAATGGGTTGTGTTAAATTATGAAAAAGTATGCGAAGTTAATCTTTGAACCATTTCTCTGACTGCATTGCCAATTACAAGTGCTATGTAGTATAGCCACTTTTACTCTATTAAACTTAATTGTTTGGCATAACCTAGGATTTGTAATTTGTTTTATAAACAATGTATTTTTAAAGAAAATGTGTTATTATTTTGTTCTTTATCTAACCCAACATATGCTTAATGCATTATACTACCCTTACCTTTCTATTCATACAACATGGTATTACAACCATAACCTTAAATGAACACTCTTGTAATGCTACTTGCCAATAATCATAAAAAATACAAACATTAAAAAATTCCATAATAAAAACAATGTTTTCAAACAAAATACTTAAATAAAAAAGACAAAATTTGTAACAACCCTTACAACTCCAACTGACTGATTCATACATTTTCAATCATTGCCACAATGTCGCTTTAGAAGTTACTCCTAACACTATGTTTTATCTTAAGAGATTTTATATATTTATCATATGCTTAGTGACCTTTACAAAATAACTTTATGTAACAGTTTTATATGTTTGTAGGAGTCACTATAGTAGCGCCATGTTGTATATAGAAGACAAAATTATAAAACAGGCCAGGTTTTCTTTTGGAATGCTGATATACCATGTCATTTAATTAAGAGATTATATGCATTCAGAAGAAGATTTATTACCTTTAAAAATACAATCTTCTTATTGTATAAATATGATAGTGGTCTATACATATACTGTAAATTATGGCTTGTTGAATCAAATCTTTTACTGATATCAATTCTTTTCAGCATTAGATGTAGCTGTTATTTTGCCATTATTTTGCCCTCTTTTACTGATGATGTTGTATTCCTCCTTTACTATGATTTTTCAAAATAATTTTCATTGTTAAGAAATAGCCAATGATCATATAAATAAAGATAAAGATTAACAAGTAATTGGTAACATCATAAGCAATTTTTACTATGTTAAGGTGATAGTTGGTTTAATGTCCAAAGTGCCAGTCCAAGTTCTATTTATTTTATATATTAACAATTTATTATGTAGCAAATCTTGGATAGAACAAATTGACGTTACATGGTTTTGGTATAAAGGCCGATGTATTGTCTGTGTGTTTTGGCTGAGGTGTGCCATGTAAAATGTTACAAACATGTTGAAGCAAAATACTTGAGATATGCAGCAAGTACCAAGGCCTTTTTTGGACCTAGTTTAAGGGAGTGTTATAGTAAAGAAGTGTAAATTCAAATCTGCATAAACAAAAAATGTTTTAGTCACATTTGTATAAACTACAGACTAATTAACTAAATAACATGGAGTACTATTATTTTTAAAGTACGACTATTATTATTCCACTATATTTAACAAACCAGTCATAATAAATGTGTAAAAATAGATATCCGGATCCCACATGAAAATACGATAGTGCTCAGTTTTATCCCTTGTTTGATCTCGCTGCTCCTCCTCATTAGGGGTTCCACCCAAATGATTCTGTTCTCCAGATGTATTGGATTATTTGCTTGCCTTGTATTAACACGGTAATCTGAAATAGTCGAATATGGAATGACGGCGTTGGGTACCTCCATTTGTGTCGGTGGGCTATGTCCTGCTGTGGCTTCCTCGGGCTTGTTTTTTTAGTTGAGCATGAGTCCCAACGGATCTTTTTCGATGTTCCGTCTTATGCTGAGTGTTCTGTCTATGCTTCCGCATTCATGCATCTGAATTCCGCATATTAGGACTGGTAGATTATCATTGGGTTTTTGTTCGTCCAACCGCGTCCAACCTCCTTTCTCCTTCTTACTTCGGATGCTATTTTATTTACCGTGGAAGCTGTGTAGTTAGTCGCATGTGGTGATGATTCGTTATCGCCTTAATCTCTTCTGGGTGATGCTTTTCCTTTTCATTTTTTTATTGGTGAACATCGTTGAGCACGGCAAAGTCGAGGTCTCTAATATAAGCGGACAGATCCTGTTTTCTCTTAAATCTTCGTTGTCGTCGTTATTCCACTAGTAACGTTCGCGTCCGCGTCTTCCTGCCTTATCTTGATGCGAAGAATTTTTTATGTCTGCTATGACAGCAATTGGTCCTTCTCACAATCTTAAGAGCTTGCCGAATAGATATTGAAGTAGGTTGGATCCCGATCCCCTCCGAACGGGTTTCCGCCTTATCGTAGCGGAGGGGCTACGAAGCCGTGGCGTGGTTACCCATGATGAAGCCAGAAGGAATCCACACTGCAGGATGACAAACCGGGAGGGGAAAATATTGAGAGGTTCTATGGACAGCAGTACACATCTTCGCTGGAACCACACACACGTGTGATTGACGACCCAACAGCGAAGCTTATGTACAGTACAGTCTGAGCTAGATTAGAATGGCTCTTGAGTCAAGCAAAGAGTGACAGTGTACAAGGTGTGCCGCACCTTTTACACTCTCATTCTTTGCTTGAAAACACACAAACACAAAACGGCACAGGTTGGTTGTATGTTTTTATAGCAAATACCTTTCTTTTGTGATCATTTATCAAAATGTTCAGACCATAATCGAGCGTAAAACTTCTTAACATTACTGAAAAAGTTTTGGTAGAAAGTTGAATAATCAACACGAACGACGTATTCAACATTTCTTGTAATACCAATGTGGGAAGGTAATTGGACAATCACGCTTAATGTTTCGTATGCTAAAGCAAGAGCAATTTTGGGGAATAGCAAAAAGTACTTAGCACCAACAGGTGCTCTAACAAATATAGTATAGCACGAATTCGTCAGTATACTGGGATATATAAAGATACTAGCTGCTGCCCGCGACTACGTCTGCGTAGAGTGGTGAAAATTTAGGGTTGTATGTATTATTGTATGCTGTATCATAAAAAAATAAAAACAAAAAAATTTGTCCAAAAATTTAAAAAAATGTTAAGGGTGAACAACCCTTATCTGTTAGGGGTATGAAAAAAAGATAGTAGCCGATTCTCAGACCTACTGAATATGCATATTTTGCATAATATAATTTGGTAAAAATCAGTATAGCCGTTTCGGAGGAGTAAGGTAACTAACATTGTGACACGCGATTTTATATATGTTTCTTATTTTTTTTTGCAAATATTGCTGTGGCAACAATTATATAATAAACGGGAAAGGGGGTCACCCTGTGCTAGATTCATTCCCTCCAAAAGTTCTATAACCATTGATATATCCTGATTTTTAATTATGTACAATTGATATGAATGAATATAAGTAATGTTAATGTGGTGATGATCGATAATCTATCGGAAAACCCAGTCAACAGTTCAGCGTGAACGTAAATAACTATCCAGACAACATTTTGTTTTCCTTAAACCCATTGTATTCTTTGAAAACAGGATGTTAGTGTTGGCGAATTGTGGGCGAGGTCTCTGCTTGGTATAGGGATTGCAATAATATATAGGGACAAAACTTTGGGACAAGAATTGTTGAACAGATCACGCAAGATATTTTAAAGGCCGGCAACGCATTTTTTAGCCCTCGGGTGTTGCAGGTGTTCATGGGCGGCGGTAATCACTTACCATCTGGTGAGCCTCCTGCTCGTTTGCCCCTTTTCTCCATAAAAAAAAAAATTACCATTGTAAAGCAGATGCTTTATCATAGATTAGGATAAAGTGATTACATCCAGGAGGAGATTTCTCCTTCGATTTAACACGTTTATCAAGCTATTGTATGGAGATTTTAGTTGAAGACATTGATTGCCTGTAGAAAATGTTGGTTGCTTGTTTGTTTATGTGAGAAAGTGGCAAGCGGGCTGGTGTTTCACTTTAAAAGATAACCGCCGCCCATGGACATATGCCTAAGGGGTTGCAGATGCGTTGCCACCTTTTGGGTAAAGTAGGCCCCGGTTACATCAATCTATATATCTACTTCACTCCGGTCTTCTGTGAGGTCATCTTGCTTCCCTGGACGGACCTGACGATTCGTCCAACAGCGAATATATAATGCTTGACCTATCAAAGATATCAAAGTTACTTGGCGTTATGTTCTGACAAAAGTTAGACAGTGTAAATATTTTTATTGTAAACGCCTTAAAAAGTATAGGACTCCGAAAGGGCTTAGAAACAATATTTAAAACTGGATATTTAGGGTTTTACAACCCTGTTGATAAATTAAGAAATTGTCAATAGATATGCCGCAAGCTTTTTTCATTCTTCGAGGCATGTTGTGGAGGACAAAATTGAAGATTACAGAGTTGTGTAGTATGAATCAGTTCTGTTTTTGAAGACTAACTTTTAGTCTACCAGGTTCTAAACATGCTTTCTAGGTAGTTACGAAATTAATTTTTGTTTTATTTATAGAGTTTTCATTTTCTACAATAATCATTATTGCGTATTAGCCGAAATACGTGATACATATTTTGTTTATTGCATAATTCCATTGTTTATGAAATATACCAAAGTTATGCCAGTTTATAAATTACGCTGAAGAGAAAATGTCGCTCATTACTGTGCCATCTCTGTCTTCCCAGCCTTAAGCAAAGTATTTGAGAAAATAATGGTGGAACTGATGATAGTTCATTTATTAAATAAAAATTTCTAACCGCCACCAATTTGGAGTTGATAAAGCTAGATCTAGAACTGACAGAGGAATAGAATTTTTTACGGTGGTAGGGCCACGCAGCAGCCTCGGCTGTTGCACGAATGGGCAGGCCCGTCCGGGTAAGTACCACGACCTCACAGAAGACCGGCGTAAAGTGAAAGTATGACAAATACTTTCGCGTTTCGCCTGGTGAGTGAGGTAGCCGGAGCCCAATTTTCAAAAGGTTGTCAAAGCCTCTGTAATCCTCGGGTGTGGCAGATGTCCATGGGCGGCGGTATTCACTTAACATCAGGTGAACCGTCTGCTCGTTTGACAACTTTTCGCATAAAAAAAAAAAAAAAGAATTAGGTTCGGACATCCTGCAGTCTTATGAAACCTTCTGTGTTTTCTCTGACCTTTTCAAGACATTTTACTGTGCAGATCATACAATATTTGTTAGGAAATTGATTGTCTCGAGGCGTATATACTGGTACAGGTAAAAATACCCAGTATGTATGTACCAGTACGCAGACCGGGTATGTACGGCAGAGGCCCGTTCCGGACCAGACGGTGGCGGTGTTTCATAACGTTCACGCTCGACCGCCTGTGGCATTTTATACCAAATAATTCCTTGAGATAAATTTATTCTTTATCTCTATGACAATTAGGTAGATAAATAATTGCGTAATAAGTTTAAAAAGTAATATTTTATTTTGAATTACTGTTTTTGGTAATAGGGTTCTTTACGTTAGTAAAGACAGCGCTTATTAAAAAAACATCTAAATGTTCCAAAGGTTCTATTCGTTTGATTCGATCGAGTCTACAAAAGGAGGCCTGAACATACCTAATACCTGTAGGTATTTTTATACTGGGTTTTAGCACCGGGTATACGGCGATACTCGTACCTTTGAGGCCGGGTACAGAATGTTGCAGGTATATCTCAAGCGTATTATCTCGTAAGCCCGTAATCTTGATAAGAAAATCCTACCCTTTCAGGATTCAACAACACACTTTACTTGGAATAAGCATTGAATCCAAGTTGCAATGGCGATTTCATACAGAAAACATTGCAAGGAAGTTGAGCACTGCCGTCTTTGCATACGCAAGATCAGGCAGCTAGTAAACGAAGCAATAGCTATATTCGTTTATTGTGCTTTTCACAGCATTACATTGTACGGTTTTTTACTTTGGGGTTCCGCATCCGGTTTAAACATAATATTTGTATTGTGTAAGCAAGCGATACGGGATATCTATGGCTTAGGTCCACGTGAGGGACTACGGCACCTTTTAAGCCCTTAAACATTTTAACGCTCCCGTCGCTGTGCATACTCGAGAACAAAAAAAAAAAATACCCCATCGCGTTGGGCCCTTGGTGACACTCTGAAGTTTCCGAGGTCTAGACTGGCTAAAATAAGAAATTAGTTTTTGGTCATGACAATCCACAAACAATTACAAATTCAACATGAGATTTTCCTTATATACCTCGTAATGTTTATGTCCGAAAATTGTCAATAAAGGATGAGAGGTAAAGGAGGTACCGGAATATGACTAGGATTATGTAGGTTCCGGTTTCCTCAAAAAGATTCATAATGATGGTAAGTGAAAAAAAGGTAACAATATTTATCGTATCGATATTCTTAAACAGTATCAGTAATAATAAAAAATACCGGTATATGACGATGAATTATACAAAAATTACTATATCGTAATTTTTGTATAATTCATCGTCATCATCCTCCTGCCCTTATTCCTCTTAGGTGGGAGCGTCACAACATGTGAATCTGTCTGATGTTAATTCTCCTTGGAAAACAAACATCCAGATCCGAAACAATTATCTTTGGATCACACAAATGCTTGTCCCGTGTGGGAATCGAACCAACGACACTCGTCGCCGAAACCGATAGCTTAGCACCTGCACAACTGAACACAGTGTTCCGTACCAATATCTATTAAAATCCGCAAAAAAATCATGTCTATTGTACGGGAGCCCCATTTATTTTTTTTATTCTGTTTTTAGTATTGTTATAGCGGCAACAGAAAATTTCAACTGTCAAAAAATCTGTGAAAATTTTAACTGCCATACTATCACGGTTCATGAGATACAGCCTGGTGACAGACGGACAGACGGACGGTTTTACCCTTTGGGTAAAACGAAACCGTAAAAAGTCCACCACGCGACCCCATTGGCGGACTTCACATATTTTCGAAATATAAATTTTTTATAATAGTTATTATTTCGAAAATATGCAGGTTCCACACGACATTTTCCTTCTCCACTGAGCATATGATAAGTCAGCACTTAAAATTAACGTTTTTATTGGTGGTAAAAATCATATAAATGTAGTAAGTAATGTTTAAAAGAATTATTCTTAATACTACACTGTTTTTGTGCTATAATGCACCCACGGAAGCCAATGAATTGTCAAGCCAATTGTCCGGCGGGCACGTTCACTGTTGAAGCAATAAAGATGCTAGGCAAATAAGGTATTTAACGGAGACTTCTGTAAAAACTGGAGGCAAGTGCTCATAATTTATTGTAAAATGTAAAGGTATCAACTTATCTGTTAAGGAGAGGCTAATCGACTTATTTAATTAGAAGCATCTAAAGAGAATCTAGTACATTAAATATAAATCAAAAGCTGCAAAAATATATATCGAAATCGATATGAAGACGTTAAACTAAAATAAATATCGAATGTCGCTTAAAACATTGACAATTGTTTTATTTTCAAATTTTAACCCATACCTAGTTCATTAGTCAACCAATATTGTATGTTGATGTACATATATCAGAAACATGTATGAACAGATAGATAACCCAAAAAATAAAATAGTACATCAATGTCCCGATTGTTACAACAGATCTGTGTCACGTATTTAGATGATTTCCAGTTGTGATAGACGTCAGCAAAGTTTATTTCTTGTATAATGAAGACTTCATTGAACGTATCATTTACTATACCAATAGTATGTTTCGGGAAAGAAAAATAGTTCTCTTTTATATTTTTAATGATTATTATATTTTCGTTTTATTTCTTAGCTGAGGCAGATGGTCATACACCAGTCAAAACAACTCAGTTGTTTAACATAACATAATGACAAGAAACGAAAATATTACTTATTAATAGATTGTTCCTAAAATAAATATTGTAACATACTTATAACCTAATGAATGCTAGGTGATCTGAATGGCCTCTTAGATTTTTTGCCCATAGCTGCGAGATCAATTGTAATGCCGTTGGGCAATACGGCCTTATTTTCTTGATAATCAATGAAACCCTTCTGTTCCTTATCTTCATTCGCTTTATCGCAGGGGATACCAGTCTCATAATTATATTCACGCTTCAAGCCGTCTGGATCGACGTAGCCGTATTTGCCCCGAGTTACGCAGTCAATGCCGATTGTCTCCTCCTTGAACGAACCGTCATCGTTCTCAAAGCCCCAGGTGATGCTTCCGTCCTCGTTTTCTTCTCTGAATTTCCTTATGATTTGTGCAACTGGTTTCTTCTCCCTAGAGTTTGATGGTTGATACTTCTGTGGTACGCTCTTCACGGGGGCACGATTAATCGGTTCTTGTGGGCGGGAATATTGCCTTACGGGTTGAATCGGCACTTCTTCTTCTTCATCGATAAAAGGTTTGGGCTCGGGGCGGAATGCTGGCCTCTGTGGTCTGCTGGATAAGGGTTGCAGACGTGCTGGTTGCGGCCTTAAAGGAGCCTCGTTTCTTTGGGGAGCGAAAGACTGCGGTGAAACTAGTGGCCTGTATTGTGTTGGTCTTATGGGTTCCGGTCTCGGCGGTGTGGGCGTAGTTTGCGTAAACGGTGTAGGATTGTAGACGATCGGAGGTTTTGGCTGCGATGTAGTTGTGATGTCATAATAATCGTTTTGCGGCTCGGCCGTTGAAAAAGCATTTGGTATGAAAGCTGTGGGTGTATTAATATCTACTTCGTCTTCTGGCTCCTCTGTGACGGGTTTAGCAGTTTCTTCAAGCGATTGTAGACTTGGTCTCGGCGCGGCGTCTACGGATTTGAAAGATGGCCTGGCTAATCCAGGTCTTCTGATTCTGTTGACTGCGCCGGGAAGTGGTCCAGCCGCCTGGAGTCTCCCTTGTCTAAAACCTCCCTGCCTGGGGCCACCTAGCGGTATCGCTCCGGGAATTTGGAGCCTTGGAGGTGTAGGTGAATCCAAATTGGGCGTAGGCTGTGACTACGCACAGCATGCATACCTGAAATAAGCAATATGTTATAAAAATATTTTAGTAATGTTTGAGAGAGTCATACTTCTTATGATTTACTTTTCGTAATGTTTTAAATTAGGCTCACTCTACAAGTTTATTAAAACTTTCGTGAGACATTATTAACGTAATAATAAGACGGCTAAACTCACGTAAACCCGGTGTATGTACCGACTAGTTTCGGACTTCAGCTTTTCAGCCGTCTTATTATTAGCTCTACAAGTTTTGTCATTACTGTAAAATTATTAAGTTTGAGTTAATAAAGTTTTTGAGATTAACACTAGTCATTTATATTTTTAACGATTAAGTGTACATATACATGTATCGTTTCTCTACGTACTGACGTTATAAACTCTGGGTTTTCTTAGAACAAATTTAAACAGCAGCCACGCTAGAAGAATAATTAAAATGCAAAAATCTACGTGTTTATTAGCGCAATACTTTGCCACGCAATGAATGAGTTTTGCATACTTTCAATTGCTGAACCTTGTCGATTCGGAGTCATTCTGGCCCGACACTTGACTAACTGGATTTGCGGCCGTGCGGAGTACATTGTGTTCTAGTTTGACGGTTAAATTTATTATGTTTTAAAAGCATTATTACTACATGACGTGACCTGTATCGTTAGCGGATAATTTTATTAGGTACTTAAGCTTTGGAAATGTCCTCCAATGTAAGGTTAATTCAAATTATATTTATATTTAACAATATTTTGTGTTGAAACGAGAACTATGTTATTTAAAAGCGAACTTCAGTTTATTAGCTGAATCTTCACAATGAAATAATTCGTAAAAATAGTAATTTTATTACCTTTTTGAAAAACCCACCATTTTGTAAAATAATAAAAAATAAAGGAAGTAATCGTGGCAATTTTAGAAGTACTGATTTGTATACATATCACCTTCTGTATTCCAAACGGATAGACATAACATTCAACTTATTTCTGGATTATAAAATGATATAACAATATTTAAATAGTTTTTATGCATTCTCATTTTGATTTTTATATTTTAAACTTCTTATTTACTTAAACATTATTTATTTTGCATTGAACCCTGATGTTCAATGCAGAATATTATTTTAGTATTGGCTAAGATTTGAGTATTAAATAGTATTAGCTAGGATTTAGTTCCTTAGTGTTTTCAGGTAATGGAAAACTGCTAAAAATCATTAGAATACAAAGGTAAATTTAACCGCCTACAATGTAATAATAGCTCAGATGGGAAATCGGACGGTCCCCAAATCAGAGCACCCCGATTCGAGTCCAGATGGTTTTTTTATTTTCCAAAATTCCAAGTTTCCACTTTTCTTACAAAGGAAGGAATCCTTTGTAAGAAATGTGGAAAGGTCGAACTGATACTCGAAAACAATCAATGCACTGATAAAAGTTCATCAGGTACAGAACTGAACAATCAACGAACGAACGAGTGTAAGTGATTGCAGTAAGTCTTAGGTACCTATATCTATTAAGAAGCTCAACAGGAGAGTTAATTGAAAGAAATCAAATAGTCTAGCAAGAATGATCATGCCATAAATCAGTAACTTTTAACGGATCAAAGTATTTGTTAAGACTTGGAAGGAAAAAAAATTTCGTGCATGATATAATTATATTCACTTTTTCATTTGACTTTCGGGAATGATATCTGTTTATTAATCAAAAAGTTAAAATTGGTATTATTCAATAGCTAAACGGAAGTAAAGATTGCATTTACAAAACATTTACGAGTATGATGCCATAAATTCGGCTTACTAGTAAACTTTTCGTGAAATTATGAGTATCTCAATGTTTCCTTATCAATGTTTTTCTCAATTATGCATTAATTGGATCTTGTTTTGGCTTTGCAAGGTTTTGCAAAAACTACGTGTGCTTTTGACCATAAGTTGCTCACGGACCTGAGAGAATTACGAGATCATGATTTCAAAGAAAATAATAACAGTTCATTATTTTTTATCGGATAAGACAGTTTTGATGCACAACATTAATTACTGCGGATCGCGTACCAGTCGCGAAAGAGCCCGATAAGATTTAGCTTAAACAACATGCATGTTTTGTGCAGATCTGGCAGATATGAAATAGTCTAACGAATAACCGCTTTTATAATATTATTGTTTGCTAAATCGTCAAGGTATAAATATAAACTGAAATGCGGAAAAGATCTTAAACTAAGTTGATTTATTAATTGTGATCGTGCACGCACACATTAACAATATTATGAAATACGCTCACTCATAAACGTATAATTATATAGATAGATCAACAAACGTGACCTTTAATTATGTGAATGTAATGCAACTAGAATATTTATATGTAAGTAGTCTTTTATCTGGGTCAAGATACAAACTGCATAACTAGGTATTGGGTATGTATTACTCGCGTTTCCTTTAGTCAATTCACTAATCTATTCATAAATATTATGTAAATATCACTTGATGGCAGTGCAAGCTTATTTTGGACATGTCGAAAGAACTTGAATATAACTTGTGTAATTAAGAGTTCGTGATATTTTCGTTATTATTGCTTATTGCTCCAAGAGTAGCAGTAGGAATGTAAAGCTTCTGTAGGCTAGGGCGGGTGCAGCCTTGTTCAGAAAGTGGTAAGGCCGCCCGGGTAGCTCAGACTTCCGCCAGTCAAGGTGACAAATCTTTAGATCTGAGTAAGCTGCGCTTTTATCAATGTTCAACGTGCGTTGCAATGTGTGATTCCGGAATGTATTAATGTTGTAAAATGCTCCTTTCATTTCCTTCAACGCGAATAGTTTCTCACCTTTTGATCTATATAGAAGTATATTCGATTTTTTTATGTTGGAGATGCTTCAAGCTAGTTTGAAGATATAACTGACTAGATTTGAATGTAGAATTATGATTCGATTTCAACTCAGCAGATATTTAATTGCGATCAACTCATTTAATATCGAAAGCCACCAATCAGCAATTCATTAAAGGTGCCGTAATCGATGAACGATAATTAAAATCGCTTATGTACAGGAAAGCAGTTACAGAGGCGTATGAAAATCCGAACAGTGGATCGATTAATTGGTTCCGGCAATCAACAAAAACGGCGGACTGCCTGCGGATGTTCAACATAACCGAAATATTAACATGCACAACGCGTAAATGTTTACATAAAGTCAAATGGTAAGCGGTCGAGTGAGAAACTAACAAAGAGTTGTATAATTCAGACATGTAGTTAGGGACATTAACATTGAGCTGAAAGCGTTCCGAATTTCGCAACGGCGTGGAAATTATGCGACAGCCACTGAACGGGTTTGAGCCAAGGAATGACAATAAGAACTCCAAAGTGCCAATTGCGTTCCGTAATGCTTTGTCTTGGATGAGATATTGCGGGCAAAAGGTTAGATGTCATATCCGAAACTTGTATTTTATGATACGAGATGTACAAGCTTCCATCTCTAATATCCCTGAGCGGATTAGAGAGACAGCTAGTTCTATTGACAACTAGTGAGGTGTGAGAGAAAAAAAGTTAACGAATTAGTTTCTCAAAAGGGAAGTTAAACTCCTTCGGCCCATTGTTAAAGTCACTCTTGTATAAAGTATTTAAAAAAATTTAAGTTTAAAAAATCAAACCAATGTCTACAATACAAAATGATCGCTAAGTTTATTATTACCTTTGCTATTCATCATCAACTCGTCAACATTTAAAATATGTATAAGTAGTCTAAAATATCCACAAAAATATTTAAATATAATAGAAACATACTGGCACTCTAGGGAGATTTTTATATGCCAAACATTTTTTTATTAATATTACTGGGCTGCGACGCACAGAATATGTTTACAACTGTAAAAATATAGGATACTAAACAGAATTCCTAAAATACATTAGAAATTAGCACTCTAAAGCATCTTACTACTCCACTTGAATTATTTAATAGACAACGCTTTATAAAAGTTTAAGTACAGTTCGTGTCAGTGGAATGCGGATGTCGTGCGTTGAAGTCTTTTCTAAGGCATTTAACTCCTTATGCTGATACAAATTTGTCGTAGGCAATAATTTTATGTTGGTCCTCTTAAACCTGAACCCACACATTTTTTTTAAATAAAATTTCCTAATTGAAACTCAACTATGCTAATACATATAGAAAAAATTAAGGATCTCCTTATTGCCAATACCTTTTTGTTTCCTACATCGGCTACGATCTCTCGCAAAAAATAATGATGTTAACCTTTCCGCCGATAAAGGTTGGTTATCACAACACTTTAAAGCGCCTTATTGTTGCTCAAATTCAATGGGTTTCTTTACCGATAATCCATGTACGGGGCCGCGTAGAGAAGCGGGTGCGGCGGATATTATTCTCGATTTTTTCGTCTCGACATTGCGTATGTCCGATCGTTTGTTGAAATTTACGCGTATCAGTGTTTCGTATCTAATTCTAGCGGGTTTGTAATAACATTGAGCGAGTGTAGTAACGCGGGCAAGTTGAAGAATTTGCCCGCCGCGGGCGCTGCGTGTTTTTACGACATAGCGAGTTTTTATTTTAACAACTATTCGGTGAATACCGCTAGTTGAAAATTCGTTACGCGCCGAGAAACAATAAGGGCGCCACGCATTTCGAATGTTTAGTGTTTAATTTTCTTTATCACAGGTACCACGATAGCTCTTGATGTTCTAACGCTACCATCCCACCTGAGTCTTTAGTGTTAAACTCAATAAAAGCCTTTAATAACTCAAAAATAACTTTGTAATAAACAGAAAGTAGGACGCAGACAGATTGTTCCACACCTTTGACTTTATGAGTTAAGAGGCGAACCTCTTAGTTCGAATGCGGGGTATGTCTACAACAAGTGAACGCGTTAGACTCCTGTTATATGTCAGATTCATTTTTCCGAATCGAAAGGTTAGACACGCAGCCGCGGCCGCCCTCTCGATAGTTACATTCAAGGCTGCTAAGCGAAATCAATACCTTATCTGAATGCCGGCAACATAATATCGGAGCTGTTAATGCATTGTAGTTTATGAGCGGACACACGCTGCGAATCTGATACAGTTTTCTTTTATCGACTTCAATTTAGTATGGCGCAGCGGAAATATTAAAAAACAGTAGGGTAAAAAATTCTTGCGACTTTTTTATACACACTGTATACAATTGGCTGATTGATTAGTATGGGCTTCGTAAAATAATTAATAAACACAAAAAAATTGAAATGAAATTAAACACTGAGGTACAAAAGCTAAACCAAGGTGTTATTGTTTAGAAATCAAAATGATACGAAGTTAAAATTTTAGTTTAAATAAGGATGACACGTTGCACTGCCAGTTCCGTGTATCACTGATACTCACCAGTAATGTCCGCATGATGTCCTGTAGAACGACACAGTCACGCGGCGTACAACCAACAAATAAAGGAAACGCCTCCCGCGCCGGCTATATGAGGTCGCCCACTCTCGCACTGCTCCCGACGCGACCACCATACCTTATTGCAAGGTGACCGACTACGAACGCGCACTCAACCTCATACGAAACTAATGAAATGCATCACTACGCAAATTGGTTGCACTGGACGCGATGATACCGCTAAACGATCCAATTAATTATAAAAATTCTTTTTAAAATTCAACGGCGGCTTGTCACATTTTGTGCCAACGTTTAACGGTTTATATCAGTTTTTAAGTTTATGTCCATTTTTCTTTAAGTTGTGTTTAAGTAATATCTAATAGCCGTGCGATTTTTCCAATTGTTTTTCAAATTTCAGGTTACACATACCACCACTTCTAGCCACCATTTCTCCACTGAAAACTGTTGTGAACTTATCATGGATTAGAGTTTAAGCGATATAATTTCGTACCCAACATTTAAATTTCAAAATATGATTGCGTTGTATTACCCCGTTAAACTTTTCAAGTTTTAAGAATAGAAAAAGGTTTTTTTTAAACAGGTTTTAATTATTACGTTTAAAAAAGTTGGGTATACATGTGTGTTTTCATTGATATGAGTGTCGTATCAAAGTTCTATCAACAACAGATGCATATCTAAGCAATTGTACGAGTGCCAGAGGCTTTGAATTGTATTCGAACTAGTCATTGTCGATCTGGAGGACTCTTCAGATGTGTGCATATAAAAGGTGTGATGCAATACAACTTGTGATAGTATACAACTTGGGCATTGTTCTTTTCCTATTTGTAATTCAATCGAAATGCTCACGACGTGCATGTGTCAAGTGTGGTAAGAGTCGAGATCGTTACTTTTTACGTCAAACGGGCTAAATGGATGGTTCGAAATATTTTATAGCCATCGTTTAGAGCTTGTTATTATCTTAATTCTCGTTTTATTGATATTTCTATGCAGTTAACGAATATAATATTCTTTTTTGTAGAAGTTTTATGAAAAAACGAGGGTGATCACATGAGAGTATTTAGCAAGCAATCGCCGTTTATATTGAGGGGTGTTCTATTTATTTCAATGGTGTATTCATTTGCTACACTGTCATTTAGATTTTCCGTTTTCTTCCTCTCTTCTTAGTGCGATAACAAGACGGGGCGTTACATCAGCGATTTTTTAAGCAACGCGTGCGCAGTAGTCTGGTCACGCAGGCATACAGGAAAGTGTATCGACAGCATCAAAACACAAACGAGTGAGAGTTAGCGTAGCCATAATAGTTCATTCCCCGCGCAGCGTTTAGCTTGTGACGTTGCATAATTGGAGACTATTCCTGCACTGTATTTTCATGTGTAAATGGTAAACTTTAAAATGTAGATTCATTGATTTCAACGTACGTGTCGCTATGTATTTGCGTTGTTACACGACTGATTTTTGAAAAACAAATCAAGAGCCTTTCGTTTTTGCAAATCCTGACATTGCTTTCTATTCATTTTTTTAAAGTTGTTATAAATTTATAACGGTAAATTTAGAATTTGCCAGTATTTCAACTAAACTATAACCTGGCACGGGTGTAGTGGCTGATGTATAAAGTTCGACCTGCTTATCCCAGTGTATTTGCAAGACGAATGCGTTTCGAAATTTTGTTTATCGCAATCCCCGTAATACGAATCATGCGTGGAGGCGGTTGCCACACTCAACCGGAAGATTACTAAAGCACTATTTAGATATTTTTGACAATAATAACTGTATTGAGCCGGGACAGTGGTTAAGCGAGAAACGGATGCTCCGTTAACTGTCCCGTATCGCCTTTTCCAATGAGCCGCTTCTGATTCGACACGACGCATACTCTATTTGCCGTCACAATAGGACATGTTTCGGGGTCATATTCATACTATTTAAAATTTGCCGCTTAATGTATTTGTGTCAGGAGGAAGTATATACAAGTTCAATGACTCATCCTCACAACAGGGGGCGATATGGTATCGTATTAAATTATTTGATTTGTATATTTTTTAAAGAGATTTCTCGCTACATAATAAGAGTTGTGCTGTGGGAGGACTTTCGGACTCGGAGTAACAACATATTTATTAGCCACACAGAATTTTGACTCGTACGGGGATCGAACCCCACAATCCACTCCGTAAAGGCTATTGGAGAGTGTTCACTTTAATTATTACGTCATCCGTGAGGTTAATAGTTATAAATATACGTTTGAAGCGCAGAAAAAGTGACTTAATACGGTTCTTTAGATGCAACAAATGATAACATTGGTATTACGATGCTAGGAATAATGTAGCCAATCATTAAGTCAGTCACCCGTTAATTAATGCTAGTCACTAATAAGCACGCGCGTATAAAAGTGATATTCAATGAAAGCGAAGTCCGTTCTCTACTTGTATTTCTTCTATTTCATCATATAATTTTTTTCTTGAAAATATTGTCTTCGCGTTTTCAATACACTTATATGTAGATATATTTACTTAACTATGGTCTTATTTCATTCCTGTAGCATCTATTGTCTATGATTAGTCCTAAACTATACTTTATTTTCAGCCATTACAATATGTACACATAAAATGTGAATTATATATTTTATATAAAATTGTTTGGAAGGTAAGTACGTACATTAGCATTTTATTCATTCGACCCACGTCGCGGGTGACGCCGCTTCGGTCGCGCCACCGTTACCGACATTTTGTAATGACAACTAAGGGAATGTGAAGCCCTAGACGACGGTGTCATTGTCCTGCTCTGTTATTAGATATATTTGTTAAATTTTTATTCTGTTCTTCCCTGAACGGTGCATTCCGTTGGATACAAAATATGAATACTGTTTATACACATGTGTGGTAAAACTTTACACAGGGTCGCGAAATTTTTATTTAGGCTTTGTATATTTGGCGTTTAGGCAAACAATTGAGTACACAATTCATTCAGTATGATGATATCTCATTTAGTGAATACAAATATTAAAAATTAGGGTTGAATTTGAGCTAAGATTGCTTTTAGAAGCTGATGTATTTAGGTTTTTATTGACTGATCCAAATTAAAAAGTTTCATGATTTCAAATCATAAATTCGACGTTCGAATAAAATTATTTAAAAAAAAACTTAATTTTATTTATACTCTTTAACGCTTCGCAGAGGGGATGTTTTGAGTTAAATGCTTTCGCACGACTCATACAATCATACAATGTATTAATATTTAACAATATATCTATCTACCTTTACACAGATATAACATGATTATTACCTATAAAGGTAATTAAAAATATTTTAAGGTCCAATAATGTTATTAGGTTTTTCAGAATTACTATTGGTTTCAAGGTGAACAAGTAATGAAAAAAAAAAAACGGAGAAAGAAAAGCTGTAAAGTGGTAGTGAATGTTGCAAGAAAAGTTAATAAGGGGATGTTTTGGTAATTTTGATTCGTGGGTAGACTCCATGAATGAAGACTCTCTCAGAGAAATTATTAATTCACATGTAAAATGGATACATCTTTCCCTCTGGGTGAAAAAAGTGACTCTCTATGTGTATGTATATAAATTTGAAAGTAATCGTAACTTTATTTTAAATAAAATTCCCTATCAAAAGATTATTAACGTAGATTTCAATATACAATTAATAAGAAAGAAAAACAACGGAATCTACGGAAAATGTAATTAAATAAATAGGTTGCATTTATAAAACATGTATAAACAACAATGTATTTACAACGCTTTAACTTACTGTTTGCTTCTATTTTTAATTAATATAACTTTCTCGATCTCTGATGAAAAAATAAACGTTGACGCGGAAGTTTAAACATATACTGAAATGGTGTATGTATTGCAATATTATCGATGCTAAAAGTTAAAAAAAACTGAGACACGTACTTATTTCAATTTCAACGTCGAAGATTTCTCCCTATTAAACCCTTAAAATTTATGTAATTATTCTTCAATTAATCGTATGAATATGTGCAAATTCGTTTCTGATTCAAGGATATTAGCATAAAATATACGAATACGTCCTGTCAAATTACTCCTATAAAAAGGAAGAAGGTTATCGTTAAGTCATCAGTGATCAAAATCACGAAATGTAAAGATTTTGCAAAAAGTTTTACTAACTAATGATAATGATGTTAAGAGTTGAAGTAATGTAGTTGCTATGATGATTCTAACATATTCAGCCAATGTTTCCTATTTTTTTTTGTTGCTGTGTTGCTTACTACACAGCTACCGCTGAGAAATCTATGAAAGGCCAAATTGAATAATTGATTTATTCAATCTTTCTTAGATTTTAATAAAAATTCTAGAACATAAACGGACTTAATGCCTTAAGGCATTAAATGGTAATTCGACGTGTATTGTAGTAAGTTCTTTATGCAGGTGTAATCATTTAATTAAGAATATCATGCTTTCAGTGATAAACTTTTACGTACGTTATAAATATATACAAATAACATATGCATAAATATGTACATACATATAATCTTACAAATATGCTGACGTAGTAGCGAATATAAAAAGTAATAATAACGAAAAAATAAGATTAACGTTTTTACGTGACGTTTGTGGATTATAAAAAATGCTCACGTCTTAAAATATCGCTTCCTATGTGCTTGTGTTATGTCGTTGGGCAACAAATACCAAAATAATGATGTAGCCTTGACTGTATAGGAGTTACTCAATAAGTCGGTAAATTTTGGAGGGATGATAATCTTATTATTATTGGAAGAGCGAGGAGAGAAGATATTATCTTACGTTAAGATGTGATATTGAAATTTGTCCCTTAAATATGAAGACAAAGATGGCCTTGTAAGATAGAAAATAAAAATTGTGATACTATGACTTAATACTTAAGCTGGGATCTAACATGTGATGCATGTTCATACTGGCGCAAATCTATCTATATACATAAAATATGATAAATATGTAACAAATTGTCTTTAGATGGGAGATAATTAAGAAAAAAATTTATTGTGGGCCTTTATCAACACTGTATAACTCAAAACAAGGTTGTTAAAATTTTTGTCCGTTTGTCTGTGCGTTTGAGGGCCCTAATCTCTGAAACGGATTAACGATTTGGGTACAACTTTCATTATTGAATTG